CCCTCTGTAACAGAGTGTAGCAAACCACCAATAATAACATCAGTCTCAAAAAGGGTCAAACAGTGGATTTGTCTTAAAAACTGAACATTATAGGCTTGACCCAAATATAATTAATTCCAGTTAAATTTGTATTAAATCATAATGAATCTGTGTATCTAATACTCAGTTTATATCACAGCCCTCTTGTGTTGTCACAACCTTTTCAATGTTTAAAATACACTTAACCCCTGCTTGTTTCTCCACATCTCCTTCTCCGTGTCAAGTCTCTGGAGAGCTTCTGAAGTACAGTCTCCTGGGGCAGAAGGTCCACCTGAAGCCAGACATCACCGGACACCCTGACGAGATCCTGTGGAAACACCAAGACAGCACAGTGGTGACATTTAATGGGAAGGAGGAACATGTGTACAGCCTTTATCAAAACAGAGTCACCCTTGACTGGGTCTCTGCAGAACTTTACATCACAGACCTCAGACGTGAAGACAGCGGAGTGTATGAATTGGAAACATTGGTGAACAAAAAGTGGCAACGTTTCCGGTATGAATTAGAGGTCATAGGTATGTTTTTACTTACCTTAACAAAGTGGCTCTATACCTATATATATATATAGTTGATTGATGATTTTTTTGGAGCTGCATTCTGTAACTAGAAGTTGATGTCTTACTAAAGCAATAATCAATCTTCTGACAAGTCATTGCTATTGAGGCCTGTTGTACTCAGGCGGGTGTGTTTTTAAATTGCATGTATAGCTTCTCATTCTTGAGTTTTAGAATTTTCTGTCTCAAGTTCAAATCAAATTCACAAGTCTCTGTCTCAGTCTTTCTCTGTTGCACCCATAGACTGTATTTAAAGACAATAGATGCGTCTCCACCTCCCTGTTTTACAAATAAGAAGCTAAAATATCCCAGATACAGTTGCCGCATTGCCTTGACATATTTTTCACCTATAGTCTGCCTAGTGGTGAACGTGACTCAGTATGAGAGTACTTTCTCATGTATATTTTTACATGACGGGTTTTGAAAGCAAGACTTTGATTTCTAATGCAGTGCTTCTACATGGCAGTTTGTTACTTTGCTGATAAGATCTGTGTCCCTGTGTCACCACTGTCCACACCCACAAGTAAAACAAGATATCAAACTAGTTTTACTTCTTAATATCACGCCTATAAAAAGAGCTTTTATAGTTAGCTCCAGTGTTTATGATGGCCATGTTAACAAATGAGCATCTTTGCTCTCCTTGAAATACTTCAGCTGAAAGCAACATTGTAAATATAAGATTCAGGGCATTTGCAGATT